TTACTTTCATTACAGACTCTTGCCTGCAAATCCAAAGTCCTAGGTTGAACGTCAAACAGTGGCCGTTTGTGTTTCTTTCTTTAAAAATACGACTTAAACTTCGTAGAATGTCATAGTTTTGTTTGCCATTAGCCAAGAAATGCATACGATTTTTTCGCCTTAAAATATATATATATATATAGGGCTGTACCGAGTATTCGCTTCGTATTCGCTTCGGGGCCAAATAGTGGACCTATTGACTATTCAGTATTCGGCCGAATAGTTGCGGTCGGGCCGAATACGAATAGTAGTTACCTTACACCTGCTTCTGCATACACGGCCTCAATACTGACAACATGGAACGATTGGTTTTGTTGAAAGCTAATGCAGCTTTCCTGCATTAACTAAGCTGTCAGTGACAATTTCCAAGTTTAGTTACTTGTTATAACACTTAGGATTCTTTTATTCCTAGTTATTAGTTACCACAGACTGATTAAATGATGCAAAACATAAAATGTTTTTAAATGTTTACTATTCTGTACGAATACTAACTAGACATGGAGAGACTATAAACTCCGGCCACATCCAAGTCGATAATGTGAAAATCAAACGGACGGAAACATATAAGTACTTGGGTGCACACTTCAACTGCTCCAACATGCTGAGAGAGAGAAAAAAATAGAATCTAGAATACAATCTAGAAATTAAGTATATTATGCCCTTCAACATCTGCTAAAGTCCAATTGTCTGTTTCACAACACTAAGAAAAAATATATAAAACGTTGATAAGACCAGTCGTGTTAAATGGCTCTGAAACTTGAAGCAGAAATGAAAAAGATGAGGCCTTATTACAGGTTTTTAAAAACAGTCTGCAGCAGTAAACCTCAAGGGCTCAGAATGCTTAAGAAGAAGATAACTATTCTGTGCTACTTTATGTGAAGTAAAAGTCCAGCGTACATTTGACATTATAAATGTGTGTGTGTGTGTGTGTGTTATTTTTTTTTTTTTTTGAGGGGGGGGGGGGGGGGGGGGGTATATTTTATACACTATTCACTATTCGTATTCGTATTCGGCCGAATAGTTGGTCCCGTTATTCGTATTCGGCCGAATAGTGAAAATCACTTTTCGGTACAGCCCTAATATATATATATATATATATATATATATATATATATATATATATATATATATATATATATATATATATATATATATATATATACTACTTTAATGAGGGAAACAGTAGTCGGTGACTTTGGGGGAGGGGGTGGGCAAACTGTTTACTGAGAGAGCTTTAAGTCACAGTAACTGCTTTACCCACTCAAAGTAGCAGCAGCAGTAGTAGTTGTGGTTGGGCTGTTACACCGTAGTGCTGTCATGTGAAGACCGCCGTTAAGGTTATGGCGTTCTTGTTATGGGAAGCGAAATTATACATCCTAACCTTACCAGTCCGTGGCGACAGCACTAGCCATGCGGCACCAAATCTTCTGGCTCATGACTCCCTGTCTACTCCGATGGTAAAACAGATAGCAGTGACATTATTTTAGCTACTGTGGTGGTGGTCGTGGTAGTAGTTGTACTGGTACTTGAAGTATGATGTGGTAAATATTACATAACCCCATTCACTACCTATTACAATTCTTGCTCCCCATTTTAGTCCGTATGGACAGGGATGTCAATGTCAGTTACAACAACAACAAAATATCGGCAGGAAAGGATTTTCAAATCCTTCTAAGAGGTAGAGAGCAGTAGTCGGTGGAAGAGGGGAGGGAAGGGGAGGGGGTAATGACTGAAATTTAGGAGAACTTAAAGAGCTTTACACGTGATTTTCAAGTTCTCATTATTTAATTTGTTTATATTTTACTAACGCTACCTCGGCTATTCTATTTTTTTTTACGACTTACTTTGTTATTTGCAAGTACAGCAGTAGCTTTACTTACGTCTCCTATAAAAAATACAAACGGCTTTGGCATGTGATAACCAAATAACCATTTTTGTTACTGTGCTAATAACACCATTTAAACGACCACTAATAAAAGACACAATTATATGGTTCGTGTTCTAAAGTTGGAAAACCAGACTATCTCTATATCTGTGCAGAGAATGATTGCGACATTAACTATATTAGACACGTGCGATTTCCATTGTCTTTCTTTTCTAAAAACCTTTGATGAGGGGGAAAGTAGTAGGTGGATTTAGTTGTGGTGGTGGTGGTGGGGGGGGGGGGGGGGGGAATCAAAGACTATCTCTATATCTGAGCAGACAATGATTGTATTAGACACGAGCGATTTCTATTTTCTTCATTTGCATTTAGCCAAACTATGCCACAGCAACGTGTGGCCGGGTATATATATATATATATATATATATATATATATATATATATATATATATATATATATATATATATATTGAATGGATATGTTTCCCTTGACAAACTTGAAAGTCTTAGCATGTACAGAGTATTCACATTGTAAAAACCCTTACCCCACAATATTTGGGAAAAGGTTCCATCGCTTAATGTTTATCACAATTCAAATATTCTTGTTTTATTTTTTTTTGTATTCTTGTTTCATTGTTTACATAATATTTGAAATCCGTAATTCATTTTTTCAGAGTTATTTTATCTTCGTGCGTGTTTAATTTTGTTTCTCGCCTATACACTCACTGGGAGTATGGTGCTAAACTCTGTCTTTAAAAACGATAAACAGCTTAGTTCTCAGTTGTTCTTACCACCGATAACTCGTCTAGGATGTCAGTGAACGATCTCCTGTTTGCTAGGTGGCTGACGTCCAATGGTTCGAGGAATAAATTTAAGGAGTCTGTAATATCTTTACGATTCTCCTTCTTCTTCTCTGTCACTGACTGTAAACCCAAGCGGAAAGTTCTGGTTGTTTGTCCACCTCTGGAATTTAGTCTTCGTCCAGAAACTGAGTCTTGCGTACACTTCCGTTTAACAGATCTGGCTTTATTGTATGCAGATTGTTGGTTTCGGACATGGGTACAATTATGGGGTTTACGCCGGAATGATCCTGGGGGTGTTTGTAGTCCCTGGTGCAACGAGAGACGAGAAAGTAGGAGAGATTTTTTTAGAGGGTTGAGGGGCGGGGGGTAATGAAAAATAAAACACCGCGAAAGCGGAGAGTGAAGGAAACAATACGATTAAAAGAGAAAAGAAAAGACAATATTAAAAACCCTTCACACCTGTTTCTAATGTTGTTTAACCACAGCTTCCCCTCCCCCCCCCCCACTCTTTCCCCCACCAAATCCCTTCCAGGATATTCACAAAGACAGTGACGCCCACTGCGGTAAAAGAGAAAGTGAAGAAGAAGAAGAAGTGATGGGGACACTATGGTTAACTTTCGTTACGAAGGCGGAACACAATTTATTTCTCATATTCGTTAGAACTTAGTCTCAGACAGACTCTCGAAAACCAACAGTCTGCAAAGCAAATGAGTCAGATCTGTAAAATGGATGTGCACGCAACATTCAAGTTCTAAAACGAGTCCAAAAGTCCAGAGGCGGATGAACAACAAAAAACTTTCCGCAGGAGATTACAACCGGTGATCACGAAGAAAAAAAAAAAACATCTTCTCCGATATAAAACTATATAAAACAGCTTTCAAAATCAATAAAGAATGTGATTGTTTCGCAGGACATGAAGAACCAGGTGCTGACCACAAGTGGCTGGCTGAATCTAGTAAGTACTTTGTCTTGTTTTTTTTTTTTAAAACACACACACGCAAGCACGCGCGCGCGCACACACACACACACACACACACATACATAAACACATACACACACGCACGCATGCACACACTGGACTGTTTTACCGTTCACCTGGGAAAAAAGACACGTTGACAACTTGCACCATCAGCATAGACACTCTTTGGTGGTTACTGATGAAACAGTGCAAAGACGTCAATTCTTAATTCAGTTACTCTTGTTCCCTCCCCCACCCCCTCTTAACTTTCGCTTCCAGAATTGCATTTTGAAGGAATAAGATCTAGCACCTCTACTAGGTCACATCTAAAAAAAAAAAAATAGACTTGATGCTCACATGCTAGCGGCTATGCTACCGTGACCCTCCACACATGCAGACATACGTATCCATAGACATATAAAATATATATATACACACACCTTTATTTCATTTAGCGATAGTAGTAGTTCAAGTAGCTGATTAATACTAGTAGTAGTAGTAGCAGCAGCAGCAGCAGCAGCAGTAGTAGTAGTAGCAGTATTACAAGTATTAGTAGTCACAGCAGTTGTAGTAGTAGTAGTTGTTATAGTAGTAGTAGTAGTAGTAGAAGTAGTAGTAGTAGTAGTAGTAGTAGTAGTAGTAGTAGTAGTAGTAGTAGTAGTAGTAGTAGTAGTAGTAGTAGTAGTAGTAGTAGTAGTAGTAGTAGTAGTAGTAGTAGTAGTAGTAGTAGTAGTAGTAGTAGTAGTAGTAGTAGTAGTAGTATTTGCATCATTAGTACTACTACTACGATTCGTTACAGTGTGCGTATGTTCGTGTATAAATTCAAAGATGTACATGTAACGAACTGAGGCCCAGCTCTGCCCATCCACACAATTATATCTGACAGAGTCTGGGCAGGACACTGACTGGACGCTCAGTCTGGGCTTCAACCTTTGAGATAGGCAAGTATAGGTAGCAGGGATGTCAGCTTGGTCGACACTCCTACCGGCGACCACGCGTGATCTATATTACAGGATGTGAGCGTTTTTAACGACCCCATAACATGTACAACTGGTCCTACCCCCCCCCCCCCCCAGCAAAACAATGAACCTAGGTCCTAAGAGAGAGTACAATCTACAGCAGTACACTGGGACACCCCTCTAACGTTGAGCAGCGTTGACCAGCCTTGCCAGGCATAACAGAAAGGTGACCTAGTATGTAGATGGAGGAGCTGGGCCTGAGTTCGTTACTAGTTCCTGCAAAGATTTAGACTCTGCAGCGTGTAAACTCTGCTATCGTGTAGCGAGAGTCTGTGTTCAGTACCTTTTTGTGTCAACAGAACTGGGAGGACGAGTTTCTACAGTGGAACAGCAGCGACTACGGTGGAGTGGAAGAGGTGACCGTCACGCAAGGAACTGTCTGGCTGCCTGATCTTCTCCTGGAGAACACGTCAGTCTGGTCTGATTGTATAGATTGTGTTGTATATGCCTGTATATTCTTCTTCCTAAAGTCCATGCTGTGTGACGTTGGTAGTCATTTCTATCCACAACCTTATGTCTCGTGTACTTTCAATCAACTCTGACACAGATGATCCTCCATGCCATGATGTCAAACTGTCCAGCATATGTTCTCTCAGTCTCCTTCTGCCTCTCATTCCCTTCAACTTTCCTACTGTCATGACGTAGTCAACTTTTATCCTTCTCATGACCAAGCAATGTAAATTGTCTGTTTCTGATGTGGGTCCGTTTCTTTTTAAAAACATCATAATTTCTCTTTTCTATCTGTCCAGGGTATTCTCATCAGTGTATATTCTGGCAGTATATACTACTAGATTAAATAGTGTTTGCTTGTATATTATATGATAGTAAATTGCCAGATAGTATGTTGTAAGTTTGTATATTATGTGATTGTATATTGATAGTGTGAAATATATAAGTACTTGGGTGCAAATTTCAATTGCTCCAAGATGCTAAAAGAAGAAATACAATCTACAATACAATTTAGAAGTAAAGTATATTATGCCCTTTAACTTCTGCCAAAGTCAATGTCTCTGTCTCGCAACACCAAGATCAAAATATACAAAACGATGATAAGTCCAGTAGTTTTATATGGCTCTAAAACTTGGAACACAACTAAAAGAGATGAAGCCTCCTTACAAATTTTCGAAAACAAGAGTATACGACGAATCTTTGGACCCATCAAAGGTGCAAACAGCGGGGAATAGAGAGTGAGAAGCAACAACGAAATTCATAATCTGTTTAAATTACCATTGAGATCTAATAGACTGAAATGGCTTGGGTATGTTGAGAGAATGTCGAATAACAGAGAGGTAAAATGTGTATACACAAGGGAGCTGTATGGTCGTAGACCACGAGGCAGACCAAGAAGACTATAGCGAGATAACGTCTAGACAGAACTGCAAACACTTGGTGTCAATAAATGGAAAGAAAAGGCCAAACAGAGAGATGAGCGGTTGCGTATGATATCTGCCACAATAAACCTTAAGTCGATGAGTTAAACTAAGGTTCTTTTTCCGTTTCCCCACAGGGCTCAGAACTTTGCTGAAATCGGCGGTGACTCAATCCTGGTGCACATCAGACACACCGGCCACATCACCATGGGAGCCTGGCATATTCACCAAGACGATCTGTGAAGTGAACATAGGAAAGTACCCGTTTGACTACCAAAGGTGTGAGATCAAGTTCCTCACCTGGATGCACACCAACAAGACTCTGGATGTCCAGGTTTGAGACTAGCTTGTATTTTTTAAAAGTCATTATCATAATTTATTTGCTTTCCGTATCTGATTTGTTTCTGTAATTTACTGAGTTGCATTAGGAGATAAGTTTTTAACCCACAGTACAGCGCTGACGGAATCGCTTGCAAAGTTCATTTTCCTATCTTCATAACCAATGATAATAGTTAAAGTCGCTGTTTAAATGCATTTTTTGCCTTTCCTCTGAGTATAGTGTCAGCCAAATGGCTTTGCCAGTTTCAGCTGCACCCTCCTATCAAGACCATAATAATGTATTCTCTCTTCCGTACTTGCCCTTTTGCTTCCAAAAGAGTCAGACCTCAGCTTTAGGTCATGCATTAGTTCACTAACAAAAGATGCAGGACTAGTCAATATATCGGCTTTTTGTTGAATGAATGGCTGTCAATACAGCGTAATGCCCAGGAGAAAATACCCAAACGAGGTTCACTACATGCGACCCCCTAACAACTTGTTGTGTATTCTCTGCAGGACTTTCCAAAGTTAATTCACAATTTTTTATTTGGCTGTTTGCGATTTCACTAGGCAGTTTTACTTTCCGTAGTTTACCATTATCTGATAAACTGTCCGCTCTCGAAGCCGCTGCCGGAACCTACACAAGGCGGTCTGCTACCGATTCGTCTGCAGCTGTGATCGAGCCCAGGACCTCAGAATTACGAAGTGCGTGCCCACAGTTACAGATCGTGTTATGTACCTGACTTTAAAAATTAGGTTTCATGTTCTTTCCAGGACGCTGCAAACAAATGCCAACACCGTCAGTACCGTCGCCCCTTCCCACATCCCCCAAGACACACGGGAGGCACAGCCATGCTCCGCTTCCATTCCATGGAGGCTAAACTCTCCCCTCCACCTAAACTGTCTCCTCCACCTAAACTGTCCCCTCTACCTAAACTGTCCCCCCCACTACCTAAACTGTCCCCTCTACCTAAACTGTCCCCACAACCTAAACTCTCCCCTCCACCTAAACTGTCCCCTCCACCTTAACTATTATTATTATTATTATAATTATTATTTAAACACTATCGGTGCTTAAACAAACAAGGCTTTAGTGCTGTGTGCAATTCCACGCCGATGAAAACCTGGGAAACGGCTGCCCCCCCCAACCTCCATCTTCTGCCCACCTCTGAACACCCCTCCCCCGCCCCCTCCATCTAAACTGTCCCCTCCACCACCTCTGAACACACCTCTCCCACCCCCCAACCCCCATCTTCTGCCCACCTCTGAACACCGCTCCCCCGCCCCCACCTCCATCTTCTGCCTACCTCTGAACACCCCCTCCCTCCGCCCCCCTCCACCTCCATCTTCTGCCCACCTCTGAACACCGCTCCCCCCACCTTCATCTTCTGCCCACCTCTGAACACCGCTCCCCCACCCCCACCTCCATCTTCTGCCCACCTCTGAACACCGCTCCCCCCACCTCCATCTTCTGCCCACCTCTGAACACCCCTTCCCCGCCCCCCCCCCCACCGCCATCTTCTGCCCACCTCTGAACACCCCTCCCCCGCCCCGAACTTTCCACCCCCATCTTCTGCCCACCTCTGAACACACCTCCCCCGCCCCCACTTCCCACCTTTATCTTCTGCCCACCTCTGAATACTCCCCCCCCCCCCCCCCGCTCAATTTTTATCGTTTTATCTTTTCTGTGCCCAGAGCTGTCGTCTTTTACCAGACTAATGACACGTTCAGTAAAACAATCACGCTCACAAGTTTGACATAGCTGACTAACAGTACCACGCACATACCGTTGGTGTAATTAACGCAAAGGAAAGCGGTCTGCTGTCAAACTGCCTACAGCGAAACCGAAATAAGTACTACGGAATTAGGAAACTGTAAATAATCCATAGGCAACAGACGCCAACATAAACGATTTAACATGATTTTTTTGTAAATGGTTGATTTCATATGAGGTAATTTAGTTATATAGTGCGTGATTGCATGAGGTGGTCGGAAAAATTGTCGGGGCCAAAGAAGCTATTAACACAAAATTGAAAAAACCCTGCATCTGGTTGATGGTAAAGTAAAGGGCCCTTTACCGGCATTGAAGGCGTATTGGGCATATAGGGCTAGATCTATATTTTATAGACCTGTCGGCACTCGGTAGGTGATGATTTCAAAATTACGCCAGCCGCCTTTACTTAACCGGCTTTTATTTGGACTCCGTTCGGATGTGAACCCACGACCTTCGGATCTGCAGTCGAGTATCTAGCTGCTACACCACTACAGCTCCACGGCGTATGGTACTAAACAAATGATTTTAACAGATTAATCAGGACACTACGGGTAACGTGAGTTAACTACACTACTCCCCTGTCGCCTTTACTTTCCATGAGATGACCTCTTTCAGGTTGGGTCGACCTGGCAGCACGAGGTCGATCATTTATATCTGTTTCTTTGCGGATTTGAACTGTAGACATTTTTGGAAAGCTATAACAATACTGCAATGATACCTGAAGTAAAAGGAATGGTTACGGAAAAGGATGGCTGACAAGTACAAAAAAAAAAAAAAAAAGGAAAGATCAAACTACGGAAAAGAATTATGAAAATGTGGATATGTAGAAGTGACATTGAGAATGAACTTTTTTTTAAAGGGTTAATTGGGCAGACAGATCCGTCTTACATTCTGCACTTCTGTCGTCACCCCATACATACATTATTCCATTGATACATCATTTTAGCACTTAATAGTAATAAACATCGTCAAAAAAAAAATCAACATCATCTTATTTGCAACCGTGGCAATAGGTTCTATGTATACCTACATTTGAAAGCAATAATAATACTAATTATAACAAATCAAGGGAAATCAGTAATATGTTTAGGACACTCTTATCTTTAAAGGGTGCATGTTGTCTGCCATAAGAAAATATTCAAATAGCTTCCGAATGTATTTATAGGAGTTGTTGATATTTTTGATTGCCAGCGGAAGTTCGTTCCATTTATGAGTTACACACACACACACACACATACACACACACAGAGAGAGAGAGAGAGAGAGACAGAGAGATAGACAGTGACACACAGACAGACAGTGACAGACAGACAGACAGACAGACAGACAGACAGACAGACAGACAGACAGACAGACAGACAGACAGACAGACAGACAGACAGACAGACAGACAGACAGACAGACAGACAGACAGACAGACAGACAGACAGACAGACAGACAGACAGACAGACAGACAGACAGACAGACAGACAGACAGACAGACAGACAGACAGACAGACAGACAGACAGACAGACAGACAGACAGACAGACTATATATGTATACATCAGTGGGTATTGTCATACAGAAGACATCAATGTGGCGTGTTCTCTTTCAGCCAGATACAGACTTCATCAACCTGAACGCCACCATTGACAACGGGGAATGGGATATCATATCAGCCGTGGCTAGACCATATTACTACCCGTCAACATACAGCATTGGCACAGGTCGGTTTTCCTATGTCATTATAGACTAAGCGACTTCATCATATTCACTATGCTGTGCTATTGTATGTCAAATAGGGCCATCAGTTTATTCCTTTATTGTTTTTTATCCGGTACAATCCTTTCAACAAAATGAATGTTATCCGGTCCATCGACTTAAGTCTCTCTCTCTCTCTCTCTCTCTCTCTCTCTCTCTCTCTCTCTCTCTCTCTCTCTCTCTCTCTCTCTCTCATGTTGAGAAAGGTGGAGGCAGGCATGCTTTGTAAAGGGTGGAAAGCATCACTTCAGAAGTCCCGGGTTGTTGGCATTCATGTTAATTTATGCTGGTGTGTTGGGGAATGAGCAGCGAGATAGATTGACTGGTTCTGCCCTACTTAGAGGTGCACTGATGTATGACAAACTATATGTTGTAAGGGTTTCTTAAAGAGCAAATGAACAGTGGAGAGGCACACAAATATAATTAGGGTCTGAGAAGAATGGCGCTTGCGGGGAGTTACCAGTGGATCTGGCGGACGCTCCACACCCAAGGCGGGATGGATACACAATCAGACAGTTACTGTTATCATCGAAATTAGAACTCTTCGCTCCTGAAGATAGTGACGGATTGCTTTTGGCAGTTTCTGTCATATCCCAGTCCACCTACTCCTCTCTTCCTCTCCGAAGGATTTGAAATTCACCACACATTTTTTGTAAATGACCTTAGCATCCGTGTCCACCCAGACTAAAATAAGTAGCTGGAATTGTAATTAAAAGTAAATCGGCCAGTGTAACATAGACCACTCATGGAGTACCAGTACTACCACCACCACTACCGCCACAAAAACAAAAATGTCACTATTGCCTTTTTTACCATATGTCTAGGTCGGTGTAGACAAGGGGTCGTGAGCCAGAGAAACCGCATGGCTAGTGTTGTCGCCACGAACTGTTCAGGTTAGGATGTTCAATTGCACCCCCGACAGAAAAAGTCCATCACATTATTGGGGAGTCGAACACTGGTTTCCAGCCTGACGTTGTAACCATCCGGCCAACCACAACAAATATTCTGCTACGACTACCACCACCACTGCTGCTAAAGCAGATGAATCTTGTGGGCAAGGCGGTCACCGTGACTTCCCCGGCATGGGCAGTTGTGATGTCATTGATGTCCAATGACATGCCTGTCGTGAAGGTCGTGTCGAGGTTGGTGGATATGGGAGTTCAGTCTGCAGCACCAAGGGCAAGAGTTGTCTGTCGTGCCCATCACGTCTTGTGTCCCAGTTGTCCGATGTCTACTATTTTACTAGTCTACCCCTGCCTCTTCTTTCAGGAACCTTGCCTTCAATAACTGGCCCTTCTTAATCACTGAAGCGATTATTATAGTAGTAGTATTTCATATTCTGAGTCATGATGTTGTTCATATGCTAGATTTATTCAATTCTGATATTAGAATGCCTTTTTTTTTGTTCATTCTTCGTGACTGATCGTATTTGTATTCTTATGATTTTCTGTAACCAATATAGTTATCTCATTGCGCATATATTATTGTTTGTAAAAAAGCAATTTAAGCATCTTGTTTTCTCTTTTACATCTTTACCTAAATTGTAAACTCTTTTGTTCCTGTGTTTCCTCTTTGTATGTTCTTTGTTATATACGTTTATTAAGGTCACTCATGGTGAAAGTAGTGAAGAACGCCTGAACGCAAATTTGCAATAGAAAAAACTACAACAGCCAAACAATGCTCGGGTTGGTTCTACAACGTCCTGTAAAGGATACGCAACTAACATGTTGTTTACCTTGGCAAAAGGTTACCTTAAATTTGCAAAATATTTGCTGAGAAGATATCGAGCTCAAATGTGCGCGCGCACGCACACACGCACATCCCACACCACCCACACACACAATTTGTGGATGACATTTAAAGTGGTACAATAATATTCTGTTAAAAAAAAAACATATATTCTTTGGTTCGAAAGAGATCACCACAGAGTTCAAAAAGTTCGAAAGGTTTATTTTTTGCAGTAATGGAGTTTCTCGTTCTTCTTTTTCTAGCTGTTCGTCCACTTCTAGACTTTGGTCCGATTTCAGAATATGTGTGTTGAGAGCACAACCATGCAGCAGATCTGGCGTATTTGTCTGCAGGATGTCCTCGCCTCTATGGCATGTGCTCTCCCACTTCGTAGGGAACATATTCATTAGTCAATTATTACGATAAACAGGCGGCTGGTCTATTCTCTCTTACTCCTCCGCCTCTCCACTTCCACAAAGAGGCCTTATAACCTATTCGAAAGTATAGACTTTTGCATTAGAACTTTGCTATTAATTTTTAAATTACCTCATCCAGCTCAAATATTCCATACACACTCTATGTGAATGATGATTCTATGTGGTGCTAGCACATTATAATCGATAGCATTATCCATAGAATCAGATCTTAACCACGATGGGAGAGAATTTCTCTGTAAATTCGCAGAGCTGATAAATAGAGTTGCCGCGCTTTGATTGACTACAAAGTTAAAAAAAAATTATATATATATATATATATATATATATATATATATATATATATATATATATATATATATATATATATATAACAATTTTAACAAGATTAAAAGTAAGACATAATTTTCCATTTAAAAAAGGTGCATCATTTATCACATAGTTTATTGGAAAATAGAGATTAAATAATTTCTATTTAGAAATTGCGTCTATAATTTTATATCTGAAGAAAAAAAATTAAAAGCGTTGGGTGTCTTAAAAAATAAACAGTAACAACCGACTAGCATTGTTATAAGTATACGCAATTATTTATAAAGACCCCCGTGTGGGTTCCGGGGCCCTATTAAAGGAAAAACATGAATAGACCCACTGCCTACCCAAAAGCATGTCGTAAGAGTCGACTAATTGGCAGCTTCCTTCGAAGTCGGAGTGCATCTGCCTGAGAGGCAAGGAACCAGCAGTCTGCATACAAATGAGTCAGATCTGGAACACGGATGCACACGCAACACTCAGGTTCTGGAACAGGACTGCAGTCCAGCAGTGGATAAACAACCAGAACTTTACAGCTGGTGGACGCGAAGAAGAAGAAGAAGATTTATATTCATACACATGCTTAAATTACTATATATACGTACACATATGTAAAAATGTGTGTGTGTAAGTCTGTGATTTAAAAAAAAATGAGAGAGAGAGAGAGAGAGAGAGAGAGAGAGAGAGAGAGAGAGAGAGAGAGAGAGCTTGTGAAGGGTATTATTTCAGATTTATTTTAGTTCGCTGCGAGTGAACAGTGCCGAGGCACAGATAGATCATTACGGTCTGAGGAGAATGGCCGTGTGAGCAGTTACAAGGGGATCTGGCCGACGCTCGACACTCAGGGGAAAGGCGAGACGGATATACAATCAGACAGTTACTGGTACAATCGGAACTCTAACTCTTCGCTTGCTGCCGAAGATGAGGACGGAGGTCTTATGGGGATATCCCGAGTGCTGTGATGTCAGTTATTAAATCAACATTCAACATCACTATTCTTTGAGTGTAGCGTATATTTTCTCGCCTCCTAATTCATAAAAGTCTTGTAGTGTATAACATTATCGTGTTCTTTTAATAGGTCTATATAAAACATCAATGTCATCACTGCCCGCCGGAACGAAATTCGGTTCCTTGATAGAGATCTACTTTCATCAGCCTCTTTCAAGCAATCGTTGTTAGTTACTCTGGCCGTCCAAAGTATTCGTAACATTCGTCTCAAAAACCACAGCTATGTTGCTTCCAAATTCTTCCTAATTTGTTTACTGACATTCCAAGATTCGCTGTCATACAGCAGAACAGGTTCTAATTTCTAACTGCCGTGCCAATACTTGTCCTAATTTGCGTCTTCGTGTTTCTTTGCCGATCAATATTACTATCTAAATAAGTAAATAATTATTTATTACATTAATTATTTTTGTCTTTAGTGTTGCATCTTCCTAATCCGTTTTTGGTGTCTTCGATATATTTGTCTTTTCATAACCTATTTGTAGTCCAATCTGTGGTGATATTTTTTGCTAAATCTTCTGTCTTTCTTTCATGTCATTTTCAGTTACTTCATTCTTTATTACTATTTGTTGTGTTGAATGTTGAATTATGTATCGACACCACAGCACTCGGGACACTCCAAAAAGCCCTTAGCCACCCTCTTCAGCAGCAAGCGAAGAGTTCCAATTCCGATGGCACCAGTAACTGTCTGTTTGCATATCCGTCTCGCCATTCCCCTGAGTGTTGAGCGTCTGCCAGATCCCCTGGTTGCTATTGTTATGTGACATGTGGTTACCGAACATGTTAGTAATCATCTGTAACAACATCACCCCCATATCCTCACACAGCCCACACTGGTGTTCGGTTTATCGTGGAACTGATGAGGAAGCGGACTTTCTACGTACTCAACACCATCATCCCGGTGATGATGTTGTCACTGCTGAACGTGCTGGTGTTTCTGCTGCCCGCCAGCTCTGGGGAGAAGATGGCGCTGGCTGTTACCGTTCTCTTGTCGTTCACCGTCTACCTCAGCATCATCAGCGAGGTGATGCCTAAAACTTCTGAGAGCATCTCCATTCTTGGTGAGTCAGCCATAATGTAGTGTAGTAGTAGTAGTAACAGCAGTAGTAGTAATAGTAGTAGTAGTAGTAGTAGTAGTAGTAGTAGTAGTAGTAGTAGTAGTAGTAGTAGTAGTAGTAGTAGTAGCAGTAGTAGTAGCAGGAGCAGTAGTAGTATTAGTAGTCGTAGTAGTCGTAGTAGTAGCAGCAGCAGTAGCAGTAGTAGTAGTATTTGGAGCAGTAGTAGTATTAGTAGTCGTAGTAGTCGTAGCTGTAGCAGCAGCAGTAGTAATAGTAGTAGCAGCAATAGTAGCAATTATAGTAGTACTAGCAGCAGCAGCAGCAGCAGTGGAAGCAATGGTATTAGTAATAGCAGCAACAGTATTAGTAATAATAGTATCAGCAGCAGCAGCAGCAGCAGTATTAATAGAGGAAGTAGTAGCATCAGCAGTAGCAACAGTGGTAGTATTAGCACTAGTAGTAGTAGCAGTGTGAGCAGCATTAGAAGCAACAGTAGTATTAGTAGTAGTAGCGGTGGTAGTAGTAGTATTAGTAGGATGAGGAACAGCAGCTGCAGCACTAGCAATAGTAGTGATAGTAATAGTATTAGTAGCAGTAATAATAGTAGTTGCAGCAGCAGCAGCTGTTGTTGTAGCAGCAGCAATAGAAGTCCTCGGTTATTCTCAGTAAAGATTCGATATAACAGCATTTAGGACAAACACATATTAGTTCTGTCCACTTCCTCAACAGCCAACAAAGAGATTCCAAACCCGAGATGGTACCCGAGATGGTACCCAAGATGGTACCCGAGATGGTACCCGAGATGGTACTCGAGATAGTACCCGAGATGGTACCCGAGATGTTACCCGAGATAGTATCCGAGATGGTACTCGAGATGGTACCCGAGATGGTACCCGAGATGGTACTCGAGATGGTAATCGAGATGGTACCCGAGATGGTACTCGAGATGGTAATCGAGATGGTATCCGAGATGGTACCCGAGATGGTACTCGAGATGGTACCCGAGATGGTACTCGAGATGGTAATCGAGATGGTACCCGAGATGGTACTCGAGATGGTACCCGAGATGGTACCCGAGATGATACTCGAGATGGTACTCGAGATGGTACCCGAGATGGTACTCGAGATGGTACTCGAGATGGTACTCGAGATGGTACCCGAGATGGTACTCGAGATGGTACTCGAGATGGTACCCGAGATGGTACCCGAGATGGTACCCGAGATGGTACCTGAGATGGTACCTGAGATGGTAATCGAGATGGTACCCTAGATGGTAATCGAGATGGTACTCGAGATGGTACCCTAGATGGTACTCGAGATGGTACCCGAAATGGTACCCGAGATCCTTTGGTTAGCTACTCCTCCTGCCTTTCCTACACCCCCCCCCCGCCACCCCTGAGTCTCGAATGGCGCCCAAAGCCTGCCAGACCCCCTCCCCCCACCTACTCCGCCACTACATTATTGTCTCTATAGTAGTAGTAGTGGTGGTGGTGGTTGTGGTAGTATTAGTAAAAGTTGTAGTAGTGGTAGTAGTATACGTAGTAGTAGTAGTAGTAGTAGTAGTAGTAGTAGTAGTAGTAGTAGTAGTAGTAGTAGTAGTAGTAGTATACGTAGTAGTAGTATACTTAGTAGTAGTAGTAGTAGTAGTAGTAGTAGTAGTAGTAGTAGTAGTAGTAGTAGTAGTAGTAGTAGTAGTAGTAGTAGTAGTAGTAGAAGTAGAAGTAGTAGTAGAGGTAGTAGTATTAGTAGAACTAGTAGTAGAAGTAGCAGAAGTAGTAGAGAAGTAGTAGTGAAATTGTTGCTGCAATAAGCTGTAGTAATAGGAGTTTAAAAGTTTCTAATCAAACGGATCAGCTTCATTTGCCGGGTCGATGAATTGCCGGGTGGCGAAAATTCCCCTAAATCACGAACGCCATAGCTCTGGTGACAACCCATAATAAAGTAGATTTTCAAAGTCCGTTGTTTCTTTCAGATCTGGGTAATTTATAAAATGATTGGTAATTTCAAATGTTGTCTTTAGCTTTGCTCCGCCCCCACTACTCTCACTTCCCCCCCCCCCCTCTCTCTCTCTCTCTCTCTCTTCTCTCTCTCTCTCTCTCTCTCTCTCTCTCTCTCTCTGTGTGTATATATATTCTCCAATCCTTCTCCTATGTTTATGTTTTATGTTTTTTTTTTGACGGATCAACACAATGGCACAAGTTCAGTAACCCATAATTACTCTTCTTTACTTTTAACTGAAACCTGAGTCTGAAACGCTTGCACCGGTGAGGATCCTACAACAGTGAGGGTAGATTTTTGACTCCAAATTTTGCATGGGAAACGCCGTAAGCTACTTCTTTCGATTTCCAACGGCCGAAGGGATTTTTTTAAAACGAGCGCAACAATACACATGGGCGTCTAATTTTACTACCCGGAGACCAGGGGACATTTCTAGAAGTCTACGAGAAAAAAAATCAAAGCCTTCACCGGAGCTTGAACCCGGGACCTCCAGCACTCGAGGCGGACACAATAACTCAAGACCACTCAGCCCCTGAATCAGAACTCCCCTTCCTCTTCTATACTTTTCGTTTATTATGAATATTCTCTCTGTTTGCATCTAAATCTTGCCCTTTTTATTTTCTTGTTTCTTGTGTGTGTGTGTGTGTGTGTGTGTGTGTGTGTGTGTGTGTTTATCTGAATGCGCATTTGTTTTCATTTTCTCTGTCCCTCTCTGTTATATCTCTCCATCTCTATCATTTTATTTATTGTCTCTGTTTATCTGTGTGTCTTTGGTCTCTTACTGTGTCCCTGTCTGTCACTGTCTGCCTCTGTCTGTGTCTGCCCCTGTGTCTTGATGTCTATCTTCTATCTTGGTTTCGTTTTCCGTCAATTTCTCTCTATGTATGCACATTTTTCTTTCCCTATAAATGTTTATTTAACTATAAACTGACATCTTCCATCCATCTACTCGTTTGTCCTCATATAGCTGTTTATTTACCCATATTCTTCTTGTAGTACTGTTATTCTATTCAAAATATCTAATATATATTTCATATGTAGCCCCCGCCGGTCTGTCTCTCTGTCCGTCTGGGTGTTTGACTTTATCCATTCTCCGCTCGTCTTGTTCGCTGCTTATTAGAGCATCCATTTGTTGCCCTCTGAAAATATCCATTAATGATGTTCCTTTCTCCTCCAGCGGTGTACCTAACAACATTGCTGTCACTCAGCACTCTCTCAGTCCTGTCATCTGGAGTCGTCATGAACCTCTTCCACCATGAAACCGACAAGCCTGTACCAAACTTCCTGAAGTGCCTTCTACACTACAAACTTCAAGAAATCAGGCGCCAGGTTCGCAGTCGAAACATTCTCAAACCTTGTCCTTGCAGCCAGGAGAATCGTCATGGGTATGAAAGCTCACGATCACCTCAGAACGAAACGTTCTCAGAAAATGGACACCATTATTCCAACAGCACTTTCAGCAGAAGCAACAAATACTCCAATTACGATTACACATTCATTGAGCCCAAAATGGAAAGAGATCGCTCTCATAGACAAGGGCAACATGTCAAAACTATGACGTCTAGATCAAACATGACACGCAAGTATCATGAGCTGTCTAGGGTCAAGTCGATGTTTCTGAAGCTTAGCCCAGAGTTCGTCGACGCAAATGCCGAAGAATGGGAGCTAGTCACGTGGAAGGATGTGGGAAGTGCCGTAGATACAGTTCTCTTCTGGGTGTTTCTGGGATTCACTCTAGCTTCAACGATGATAGCTCTTATTATGTTTTCTGCTCATTGAAACATCCTCATGGGCAGGACCGGATTTGGACTTGATGAGTTCCTGAGCTTTACAAAGCCACGGGGCCCTATAGTTTAAGATTACACCTGCTGATCTCAATAAAGTAAAACAAAGGTCCTTTTCCCACGCCTTTAGGTTTATAGGGCATATAGGGCTAGACCTATATTTTTATAGACCTATCGGCCCAAGATGGGAGATGTGGTCAATATCACGCCGCCTGAGTAAGTAAAGATCCCCTTTCACGCCTTTTAGGCGCATCCGGCATATGGGAAGAGCGCCCCATATTTTTACAGACCATCGACACTCGGTTGGTAATGTGGTCTTTACTTACCCAGGAAAGCCATCCTGGTACCTATTTTATGCTGGGTCGACTTGCGACGCCCCATACCACGACAAAAATCCACGCAATTGCTGATCTAAGAAAAATTGAAAAAAAAAAAAACGCCAAACAAATAAATGGATAATGCAAATAGACTGCTGTTTAATTTTTATTATAAGAAATAATAAATAATGTTTGCAAAACCACATAAGACTGAGATAATATAGCCAAAATAATTAATATTTTAAAAATTTTTAAATATCAGTACAATTATAAAATGTATGGGAAAACTAATGATACAGAAAATTAAAAGAAAATTGCATTTAAAAAATACGTATTGTAGGGAACTTTAATTTGTGTAAAAAAAAAAAAAAAGATTTTAGGAAGCTCTTGCAGATTCTGAGACCCAAAGCTGAAGCTTATTAGGCTAGATACATAAATGCAGTTCTGCTCATTGGCATTTTGTCAAGTGTGATTTCGTTTGAGTTTCTCTAAAGTGTCAAATGTGATTTCGTTTGAGTTTCTCTAAAGTGTCAAATGTGATTTCGTTTGAGTATCTCTAAAGTGTCAAATGTGATTTTGTTTGAGTTTCTCTAAAGTGTCAAATGTGATTTCGTTTGAGTTTCTCTAAAGTGTCAAATAGGATTTCGTTTGAGTTTCTCTAACGTGTCAAATGTGATTTGTTTTAATTTCTCTAAAGTGTTAAGTGTGATTTCGTTTGAGTTTCTCTAAGTGTCAGATGTGATTTCTTTGAGTTTCTCTAAAGTGTCAAATGTGATTTCGTTTGAGTTTCTCTGAAATGTCAAATTTGATTTCGTTTGAGTTTCTGTAATGTGTCAAATGTGATTTCGTTTGAGTTTCTTTAAAGTGTCAAATGGGATTTCGTTTGAGTTTCTCTTAACTTTTTAATGTGATTTCGTTTGAGTTTCATTAAACTGTCAAATGTGAAATCATGTGATTGTCTTCGGTGTGTCTGTTGTGACTTAATTGTGATTATTTAAACTGTGGTATCATTGCATAGAATCGCCGTGGCGGAGCGATTGGACGCTCGCCGCGCTTCGGAAGGTCGTAAGTTCGCTCTCTGGCGGAGATGGACTTTTTTTCAAAAATGACCTTGGCTCCCAGGTCGACCGAGTCTTGAATGGGTACCGGGTGATTCCCGGGAAATAAAAGAGGCCGGTTTGATGCTGACCAAATCACACATCTTGTGCCGATTGGTCTATAAAAATATAGGTCTAGTCATAAATGCCCTATACGCCTAAAGGCGTGGAAAAGGGTCCTTCACTTTTTTACTTATCATTGCATAGCCTACTTTGTCTCAATAGTAGTTTCATTGACAGTTCGCTTTGTCTTGAGATGTTATTTCGTTTGATTGTCTCTTCACAGTGTACAATTGCACTTTCTAGTTGTTTGACAGAAATCCAAAGGAGGATGACCATAGCCGTGCAAAGATTAAACAGCAATAATGCTCGATGGTTAAGCGCCAGCAAGGCAATCGAAAGTGAAATTTGGAGAGCATTCATCTTCCCTGTAGCAACATACGATGTGAGTCCTGGACCATCTCCTAGTCCTTAAGCAAGAAAATCAGACTTTCGAGCTGGAATGCTATATAAAAATTTTTTCAGAATACCATGGACAAAGAAGAGAAAAAATACTGATATTTTAAAAGATGTGAACATCAAGGAAGATTGGCTCATAAACAGCATCTTTTCTCAGAAGCTGAAATATTTTGGTCTATCAAGCGCCAGGGCCATTTGGAAAAAAGTAAAAGCATAAAGCATGGTACCAGGAAGGAGGGACAGGCTCATACCAACACAGAAATGGGTACCGGATATAAGTGAATTCTTGAATATGAAAGTACATGACGCGGGAGAACTGACGAGAGACCCAGTTTCTTTCAGGCAGACCGTGATGAAATCAACGTTCTGCAAAAGACCTGATAAATGACGATGAATTGTCCAATTTCACACTTCTTCCACATGTGTTTCAGGTCGTAAGTATAATGGCAATTGTAACTTATCAACCCTCTTTGCTATTTGATTACCTTATTAATTCTTTTTTTAACGAAACTGATGTAAAAGTTATGCAGTCTGCTCTCTCTTCCTTAGCTGTGATTTCCAAGTATGTCACCTAATAACCTTTTAAAAAAAATGTGTAATCATTTCTATTCAAATTAATTCTACTGCAGTTATATTTATCTTTCTGTTAGGTTTTTATTCTTATATCTTCTGAATGACCCGGACATACATTCCGCTGTCTTCTGTGTACACGTTATTTTATCACCAATAAATCAATCAGGTGCCATCTTTGCAATTAAAGTTTGCTACTAGGAATCTTTAGTGTTCTTCTATTGTCTTTGATGTACATGAAGTATGTTGTATTTTTTTTAATCTTTTACAATCACACACACACACACACACACACACACACACGTGTACGCGCGCGTGAGTATGTGTGTGTGTCGGTGTCTGAGGCGTAGGCTTTGCAAACGCACATCGTGCTTCCGTGGTGCCGGGTTCGATTCCAGCGTCGGACGATTTGGCCACAGACGGTCGCGTTGGTTTCGACAGTGGTATATACAGCATAACTTTCATCAACGACAAACCATTTAACGTAAAATTGCTCTGTGAAATAACAAACAACTAACTTAAACTTAGTTTGTGTTGTATTTAAGTTACTTCTTCAATCTCATCTGGCTTGCTAAATATATATATAAATAAATATACTAGCTGTACCTGGCCACGCGTTGCACTGGCCCAGAATGCTGAAATGGAGAGGAAAGAAAATAGCTCTCAGCTAACAGTGTCTGTCATATCCCCCCCCCCCCCCAATCCTTTCCCATCGACCCAGTCATATCTCCCTTTATGAGGGATTGAAAAATCATCACCTGGCGAAATTATTAAAATATAAATAGATAAGAAATAAGAACGTTAAAATAATATTTTAAGCTCTTTCAGCTAACTGTGTCTGACATACCCCCCCCCCCTCCCCCAGTCATACCATCCTCTCCGAAGGATGGGAAAGTCACCGTGTGACGAAATATTGTAACTAAATTGAGCTAGGCATCCGTGTCCACCCAGACTTAAATAGGTAGCATAAACTTGTACAGAGAATTAAATGTAGCCAGTGTAACAGCAACCACATCACCTATCCAGTACCAGTACAACTGCAACCACTACCACGACCACCATCACAACAACAACATCAGCAACAACAACAACTGTCACTACAGTCTGTGCAAATCGGTGTAGAAAAGAGGAGTTAGCACAGCATCGTAGGCAACCTCAGTCCCTAGGTACTGTGGCGCTGCGCCGCTGGTCTTCTCAACAGCGTCTGCTATGAATGTAAAGTCAGTTTCGGGAGTGACACTCTCTGTCACATAGTATTAAAAAAAAAACATTGATACTCTTTTATACCACGACCGTCTTCACGAAAGACAAAGTAACATTTCCGGTCATCTGAATTGTGTTTGCTACCACGCGTGTATAGTTTCTCAGAGTGAACTGAATAATGGAACTCCGATTTTTAGGCGTGTAGTTACCTTGCTTTCTTTTTACATTTTAGCAATAGGCAGTTGTAAAGTGTTACTGAAAGTTGTATATGTTTGTATCGTTAGCCCTGTGTGGTGACGTCACTATAGTTGATGTCATCAGCCCCAAGTCCTATGTGGAAGACGGCCTTGCTTATACAGAGACGAGTTTTCTCTTAGATGTCTCCCCTCTATAGCTCGCTGGGTTAAGCATTATGCAGTCTTACAGTCCGTCTTTCACCGCCTACCACTATAGCAGTTAATCTACAGCTGTGTTCTTCCAAGTGTCATTGTCAATGTCGGAGGCTCTGTAGTCGCGTTGGTCTAAATCCTTATAGCGGAGCTTTATACTCACCATCCATTTGACACTCAACCCCTATGGTTACCATAATGCAAACACATTTTAATGTTATCCTAATATATACAGATGTTAACGACCTGTGTCTTATCATAATGCCTGGGAACGGGGACGGTAGAGGGTAGGGGGGGGGGTACAGCAGAACTGTACCCTGCTGGCATGTCGTAAAAGGCAAAAAAGGGTAGGCGTAGGCTTCAGTTGGATATCCTGTAATATTGTTCAGATGCAAGGGGGAAAATAACTGCAACCATTTCGATTGGCTTGACTTGAGCTGGGTCAAGGTCTGGGCTTCATTTTGGTTTTGAAGGTCAAAAGCAGCAAAGTAACTGAATGCTGGTACATAACCAAAGTAAAGCCTTACATTTGATTAGCACCTTTCCGTCTTTCCAGACGATAGTGTTATACTGCGCTATTTTTGTATTTTTTTCCACGAATCAGTCTCAGTACCAGTATCATTCATGTCCCGCTTTCACTCATCTTTCTATCGTAGTAGAGGTTAGCCTCGACATCATCTACCCATCTTTAATTTACTAAAGAGGATGTCCTTAGGAGCTCTGCCATTTTCCAGGTGTGAATCAGCCACCTGAGCCTTCGTAGACTGCGCACCAAGAGCACTGCTGTAATACCGGCTCCTTCCAGTACATCGGCATTTATGATTATGTCCTGTCACATTACGATTAACGTAACGGAATATAGCCTAAGCTTCAACTCCATGAAGTTGCACGAGTTGTTTCGACCAGTAGAGATCTGAAGTCGTTCCAGTCACATACACAACGAATTGAAGACTATTTCTA